GTAAGCATTTTTTTTTCCAATCCTGGATGCACTTATAATATATAGTTAAATTACAGGCATGCGTATTTGCTGCATTCCCTTAAATATTTCCACCATGCTCTGAATGAAGTGTCAAGCTCTGTAATGAATTGGTTTGTTCTTTAGATAGTGTTGGACACGCTCGTGTTCACCTGAACTCAATGTGTGTGGGAGGCTCAACTTCTCAGGTGGTGTTTAACTTCTTGCAAGATTGGGGCCCCAGTTTCTGCTTTAGATGAAGTGTGTGAGCTACTTTTAAAATATATTTTTAGTTTTATGCAAAACATTCTTTCTGTGAGTTCGGTTACATGTCAGCCTAATTCCCACACACCTCAAACACAAATTACCAGGGCAACAAATACATGTTCAAATTCCAAATATGCTTTAGTGCAGCACAATGCATAAATCCTTTTCCCTTTTTTTTTCTTTTTTTTTTTTTTTTTTTTTTTTTTTTTTACTCAAGGAGCTGGAAGAAGCTCCTAGATATGGATCTTTGGTATATGACCACATCTGCAAGGAGGAGAGCATTGCTGTACACACAACCATCAGTACTCACGGTTTCCCTGAGACTGTTGGAGCACCTTGCATCAGTTCATGGGTGCTGGAAGAGAAACACTACCTACTCTTGATTCCTCTCACCCTAAAGTCAAATGTGGTGATGTCTTACCAGCAAGTTTTCAAACCCACTTTGCATACTGAAGCACATGTAACTTAACATCCACCATGCAGCTGAGTGAGAAGAAGCCAGCAAATACAGCTCCATGCTAAATCCAATAAACATGATTGCCAAGGAGCAGGTAAAAATTGTCTGTGCAGATGTTTTACTCTGTCAGCATTGCTAAAGACTTTGAGCAATCAGGTCTGATGACATGCTGGCTGCATTTACACAAACTGCACCCAGCTCTCCTGTTCCTCATTACGTGCATTAGATATTCTTTCATATCACATCCTCGCTGCTGGTTAGTGATGTACAGGTACCAGACAGCAATGCTATGCTTCCAGTGGCATGGGTTTAACAAAACCAAAAAGAATGCTTTTGGTCAACATGAACCCCAGAGATCAATCTGTGGTAGAAAGTTTTCAGCAACAGACACATTTTTTTGTGTGGATGAAAGTGCTGTTATTCACTCTGGAGTCTGAGAAGGGGTTAAGCTGTCTGGGCAGACACAGGCAGTAATCAGTCCCTTCAGCGGTGTGAAATGGACAAGCAATCAAACTCAAACTGCCCTTTTCTGCCTTTCCTTTAACACTGTTGAAACATTTATAGAGAGCAAAGTTCTTTTTGGCCGCGTTCCTTGTCTGTGTGGGCTGTGCACAGCAGCCGATCATCTCTTGCACTTGATGCCTGTGTACGTTCATGGGGAAACTGGAGGGATCAAGTTGGGAGGTGACACAAGGCTAAACCAAATCACTGCCAACTACCTCAGAAATAGTCTCCTTTGTGCTCTTCAAAGTCCTCTCCCTTCCTTCCCCTCTATTTGGATGGGCATTCCAGAGTCAGGTTGCCACAGCTGGCACTCCATCCATTTACACTTGGGGATGAAAAATGAGCCCAGGGACTCCAAACATATTGGATACACCTCTTCACCAAATTTGTATTTGGCTCGCAATCCTCACATCAATTGTATTAAAAGGATTAAACACAGAGCCCTCTCTACAAAAGGAGTTACCTGAGGGCTGCTGTTGGGCTTCTGCGGGCACTGCAAGCTTCCCACCTGGGAAACAGCTGCTGAGACAAGAGTGAGGGCCAACCAACAGTTATAGAGGTATTTTTCTTGCATGCTAGACAGCATTTTCAGCAAGAATCAATCAACACACCACTTTTCTCCTCTGGAGGGCTGAAAATGCACATCCGGCTCTCAGAATATTTAAGATGTAATTAGAATTTGCATTATTTACTACTCACTTGTAAACCAAAGGGATACAGGAGGCATAAACAGACCGCTGGGCTTTTGTTCTCCTGTTTGACATCTTTGTGGATTCTTTCTTGGACTCACCACCCAGTATAAATGCAGCAGTACCTAGGGGAAGGATTCCCGAGCTGCCGAGGATTAGAGAGTACTAGCAATCCTGTAAGAGAGCGTGCTCACAGACATCTGTCTTCTTTTTTTAATCAAATAGCTCTGGCGAAATGCAGGACAACACACATGCATAGCCACCTGTCTGGACTGAAACAGTGTCTATGATTTTTACAGCCTGATTCTTGCCATGCTGTGGACCTCTTTCGTGCTCTCCTTTAAAGTGTTCTGAATGACTTTATGAGTACATTTTTACCTACTCCAAGCTCTCATTGCATATCCCCAGCAAGGCCTTGGTGTAAATGGGAACCAGACCATTTGAATTCGCCAACACCTGGTCTATCCAACATGAAATAAACTCTTTAACCGTTTTTGGAACCAAGTCAAAGGCATCTGCACTGGTGCAAGGTTCACTGCTGCAATACACAGTTTGATCCTATGCACTTATTTTCAGACCAGATGAACTCAGAGGGAAAGCTAGCAACTCTCGCTATTCTCCCAAGAACATGGATATATTTTTTCAGTGTTGTTTTGCCTACTGTTCCTCCCTTGGGGCACCCTGAATGCAGTATCACCTACTTCACTAAGCAAAAATGACTTCCTCCTCTCTTCAATTTCCAATCTGATTAATCCAGTTGACTGCAGCTCCAGCATTTGGCCCTCCAAGCCCTTTATAGATGTCTTCCAAGGACCTGGAGCACCTTTCTTGTGCTTTCCAATCTCAGCAATTCATTCTCAGTAATTAAATTCTGTTCAAGCCATGGTTGTTCACAGACAGACATATTAAAGTGTCTCCAAATGTACCAGTTCAAAGCTTCCAATAAATGCAACATACAATTATTTATCAACAGAGACAAGTCAGCAAGAAACACGTTTCCTAATTCTGCTCTGATGAAAAAGATGTGCAAGATACGTGGCACATCTGCAGGGAAATAGCTGAAAGATTCAATTAAGATGATTGGCAAGGTTGTCCTGGAGGGTGCTGTCAACTGTAATCACTTGCTGCAGACCCATGGAAAAGGACATGCTGCCCCCTTAGCATGGGGAAATGATTTTTGCCTTCAAAGGACTGAGACTCTGGGCAGAGAACAGAGCTGTCCTCTAACCCATTGGAGATCCTGTATGATGCTCAGTCTGATTCTCCTTGCCTGCTCATTCAGTTCCTTACCTCTTACACAGCATGGGCAGGGATGGGATAAATCATTTGTCTCCCATTTACACCTATGAGGCTGAGTACTGTGTACTGAGTACTGCCCTGAGCCTTGTGTCTGATCCTCTCTCCCATCACTGCAAGGATTTACCAGAAAGCTCACTCAGGGGAATGTAAAGACAGATTTTGACTTCATTGATCTTTGGCTTGGACACTATTCATGCAGTCCCCAGTCAGGCACTCCCTGACCACCATACTAATATGAGCAGGATGAGAGTAGACAATCAGATTTTTTTTTTTCTTTTTTTGTCTTCTGTTCTGTGATTCTGATCCTCTTGGTTTGCTCATGCCACAATAATTTCATCAGTTGTAACAAAGATGCTTGCCTGATTTATAGTAGCATGACTGGGGACAGAATCAGGTCTTCTAGTCAAGTTAATCAGAATCAATCTAAAACTCCAGAGTGAAAATCACAAGGGAGATGTAGATTAAAGACACTGGCAATTAACTCCGATCTCCTCACTGTTCCCAGGGAGACAGGAGGTTCACTTTGTTTTTTTTCTGGGGTCACTTCAAAGGCCTCTGCAGAACAATTTGTTTTATTATGTCAATAAGTTTTCATCATAAAAATCCCCATCTTTGAGCTCTGCCA